GAGCCTGGGATATTCTATATATATATATATTGGTGAGCAGATAAGTATGAGAAATATGAAGATGGGTAGTCACTGTAGCTGCAGTATATACAATATGTGTATCTTGAAGGGTTGGACAGGCACATAAGTACTACAGGACTAAAAAATATTAACACTAGTAATGGGGTAGTTATGCTTGGTAGTAGTCTGTGAGAAGGGATGTCTTACTATGGACATCAAAATGTTCAGAAATTATTATGTGTAAAAAAGACCTGAGCTTTGAGCCTGTGCCCAAAAAATACTGTTGGCTCCCTGGAATAAATTGTTTTCCCCATTTTTGACATTGCAGGCCTTTGTATGTAATGTGTGTCTGTATGGAGACAGTCATCTTAGTAGAGGAGCAGGGCTTTGCTTCCTCATGGCAGAGCAGCCCCCTGATGATTGGTGGTCATATGACAGAGGAATAATCATACAGAAGAAGTAGAGATAACAGAGATCTACAAAATGGATGAAATAGGATCTTAATTTACTTGCAGAGAGCCTTATCTGTAGTTCCTCATGTACAGCTTTCTCTCCAGCAAGGAGAACACAGTACTGGCATCACCTAATCTCATTCCAAATTTTATGAGAATAGCAATCAATTTTACATTGGATGAACATACACTTAAGATATACAACCAGGAGGCTGTAGGCACAGGTATACAGTATATTCTTCAAGAGAAATTCAATGCAAAGGGTAAAAGTTTTAGGGTACTACATATTTATTACAAGAACTTATAGTACCACCTATTTACTCAGCCCTTACATATATTATACATTATACATATATTATACATTTACATCAGTCCCTGCCCTTAAGGCGCTTACAATCTAAGGTCCTTAACTCACTTCATACTAGGGACAATTTAGACAGGTACCAATTAACCTACCAACATGTCCTCAGAGCAGGGGAGGAAACCCACACAGAAACAGGGAGAACTGTTTCAAAATCAGAGCTAAACGGATCAAGACTTCACTTTTTACCTCTGTTTTCATATCTGTTTACATCTTTTCTACATCCGTTTACAACCGTTTTCCATCCGTTTCCATCCATTTTTTTTGAAGAAAAATAGGGGTTTCTTCCGTTCAAAAAAACAGAGATTAGCAGATGATCATCCGTTTACATCCACTAGTCCATAGAAATACATGGGTGTCCATTTTTCATCGGTAAACGGACAGATGAAAAACAGACATACAGAACACCCATGTGAACCCTTAGAAAGGGAGAAGTACATAACTCAGCAACAATGAACACCATAAGGCATGGGCTACACCAGCAATGACATCTCTCTGCTAATTACCAGTGCAGACTTCTGGAGATCTTCACACTATGGATATGAAATTAACTCTTTAAGCTGAAGTGTGGAAAGGCCCAAATTTATGACACTATCAATTACACTTAATAGTTTCTATTCACAAAGCTAACATGCTAGGATGAGGATCACTGTTTTAAAAAAGTGACATTTTTTTTCAGCTGACTTCATATAGATTTGAAATAAAGATTTGAGATTACTGTAATTTACACTCTTATGTAAAGCTTTGTGAATTGAGCCAAATGTTTTTAATATCTCATTGTTTCTGTATTCTATTTACACAATGCGTTTGCTTAATTTACAGATTATATTTATAATGTTGCTTGTTTTTGATACACTGGTTTATTCATTCTCTTGATTATCCATTTTAGGCAAATGCATTTACTGCTGGGATGTGCATCATTTGAAGTTGAACTCTGGATATTAGACAAACTATACCCTTGCAGTGGGGCCTTACTGCTCTGCAAGGGTTAAATGCATGTTTAGTCTAGGGTGCAGGGATAAAGTGTATTGTTTACAGTATATCTTGCCCTAGTGCTTTTCTCTTTTGTTTAAAGCTCTGGTCTGTGATATTTCCTTCAATGTCATCACATACAGTGTAGGGCTATTGTATGTACGTTATGCATGAAGAGGTGAGCATGCTGCCTGATCAGGAGTGGACTGACCATTTGGAAACTCGGCACTGCCCGAGGACCCAGGGTCAGTAGGGGGCCCCATGAGATGCCCCTGGTACCTTTTTCATAGGCTTTTTTGAGTTTGGGCAAGGGCACAGGGACCCATGATCCCCTATTGCCCGGGGGCCCCACAAGTTGTCAATCCGCCCCTGTGCCTGAAGATCCTTAAAGAGGAGGCTTCACGAGAAAAAAATAGTTTTTAAAATACCCTTCTTACATAAAAATCCCACATCCCCTACAGATCAGCTGAAAATTCAATTCAGGCTGATAAAGAGAGTGGCTGCACTGGCTGCAAAGAAAAGAAGCAGAGCAGTGGGTATCAGATTCATAGTCCTTCCTATGTGAAATACAGGAGCATTATATTAAATGCAATGGTGTTGGGTAGGTGTTTACTCAAAGGGTCTGTCAATGTCCAGATATGTCAGTAGTCGAGCTGAGAATTCCTAGTGAAATTGTTTAAGAAATAAATGCAATTCACTTTTGATGATACAGTAGCTGCATAGAAACATGTTTTACAGGAGGCAGTGAATGTTACATCCATTTGAACACGCTTTTTTTTTTTTCTTTTGTGGATGTACTAAGTACCAGACTTATTCACTGTGTATTGATAGATCGATAGATGCAAGGTGAAGAGAAGCCTCTGGTCCATTATAAGCAACTGTGGTCAGACCCACCAGTTTTCTTTCCATTTCCAGCGGTGTCAAAAGTAGATAGGAGAAGCATTCTGCAATGCAGGTTAAAGTGTACGTGTTGCTTGCTGCCTGATACCACTTTGACATGGCAGACCAGGAACATGTTTAAAAAATAATAGTTTTGAAAAATCATTATCATTCTCATTATGAAAAATGAAAAGGTGACTTGGGCCATATACCAGATAGAACTAAGCTGCTATAGTCTTAAGATGCCCCATATGATGTCAATAAACAGCTACATGGGACAGGCATAGATTTCTGGTGCCCAAACTATGGAGGAATGTATCTCTAGGCACTGGTGTCTATTATTCCTGATATCTTTATGTCATGGCTTACTGACACACCTTGATTTACCTAATGTTGGTTTGTTACCAACTGAAGATGGTTTTCTGCTATACTATGAATGCTATGAAGCCCCTATAATTTTTATATTTTTTGTACTCGTAATATTGATAGATACCAAAAAGCAAATTTTAACCACCTAACTGTAATTTCTCAAATTTAAACATCTATTTGATACTACTAATATCTTTTGGATGTGTTTCCTAAACATTTTTTATTTTGTTCTGTACAATTGAACTGTCTGACTTGACATGTAAATGTCAATTCTTTGAATAAAGTTTAATGTGAAAAATGAAAAGGTGAACTGACTCCAAATATGCCAGCCACCCCTCTGGACCCAGCTGCACATAGCAGGCATCATGTCCCATGCTGCTGATATAGAAGTTCATTTACCGCATGCAACAATACACAGTGGATACACTCTCCAGTGCTATGTATTGTGATGTATGGACTGCTACTCAGGCAGCACAGGGCGTCACAGCTGAGGGTTGGCCAGAATATTTGGAGTTAGTTACTCTTTTAACATTCCTCATTAAAGAATATGTTCACCTTTGGAACATGTTACGTGTTCCATCTGTATTTAGGCTTCAACATGTAACATGTTCTATCCCCTACCCCATGTCTTCTCCCCTTACCCACTGTAGTTTTTCAAAAACAGACAGAGTTGTAGTTTTAGTGGACTGCAGGGGCACTGATGAGCACTCTCTTAGTGGCTCTTAAACAGAAATTCTGTATCTCTGTAGGACATGTCTGCAGGAGCCAACATTGCACCAATGAGCTACTCAACATGCAATGCTTTCCAGACTGGACTGCTGCAGGAAAAAAATAATAAATTCACATTTTTTTTTCAGCAATAATATGTTTTTGTTTTTTTTTTTCTATTAAGGTGAATTTATTCTTTAAGTTGAACCTACCCTTTAAGATATCATACTAAAAAATGCCTTAATTTCATTGGCTTCAGAGGTGACAGTGTGCAGGTCTACTTGAAAGTGCTGTATATCCTAGATCCACCTAATCAACAGCTCATGAAAAAGGCTCCCTAAATCCCAATGTTCACTCCTGATCTCCTATAACTGAAAGAACCAGCAGGCTACTGGCTCTAGGAGATGAACAAGGGTAGTGGGGGAGTGAGACAATGGAGGCTATCAAGAAAATGTGTTCTTTTCCCTGGATAGACAAACTACAAAGTTCTTATTACATACCTTCGAGCTAATCTATTAAGGCAGTGCAGAAAGCAATGGTGGCATGTGATGGGTACTAACCTTTATGTAGCATGCAATCATCATACACTTTTCAGTTAAGACTAATCAGAAAGAGTAAATATATACAAAATGGTTGCACCTTCCCTAAATAACTGATATCTAAATGTGTGCACCAGAAACCATGTGACTCAATATATAGCTCTAAATAATCATCAATATAAAATAGTAATATTATAACAACAAGCCTTAAATTGTTACTCAGTCCCAATTAATAATATGCAAACATCTGTATAGTCTGATATATATATATATATATATACTGTATATATATTATATATATACACATACATATATATATGTAACAGTGATCATTGTGACAACTTTCACCATCCGTGCTCATAAATATGAAGTGACTCCTATAACTATTCAAAATTGCAGGTCAAAGCTAACGATGAGTTCAATTTTGAATGGTGATGGGAGTCACTTCATATTTATGAACATGGATGGTGGAAGATGTCAAAATGAAATGAAGTGTTTGAAAATCACTCTTACTTATATATGTGACTAATTATACATATGTTTGCATATTATTATTCAGGACTGAATAACACTTGGAGGCTTGTGTTTGTAATATTATTATTTGATATTGGTGATTATTTACACAGCCCCATGGTTTCTGGGGCACATATTTAGATATCACTTATTTAGGAAAGATGCAACCAGGGGCGGACTGACCATTTGGAAACTCGGGCACTGCACGAGGGCCCGGGGTCAGTAGGGGGCCCTATGAGATGCCCCTGGTACCATTTTGATAGGCTTTTTTGAGTTTGGGCAAGGACACAGCGGCCCCATGATCCCCTCTTGCCCGGGGGCCCCATGAGTTGTCAGTCCGCCCCTGGATGCAACCATTTTTTTTTTTATATATTTACTTTGACTGTGGGCTGGGGGAGCCCTGTCCTTTGATTGCAGCCACCCATTTAAGCTAGTTTTCTTTTCTTTTTCATCTAAGGGAAAGTGGCCCTGTGGTAGCACGGGATAACACATATTATTAATCAGAAAGAGGTAAGCTGATTTTTGGTAACATTTGCTGACCAACTCGTTTTGCCTTATTGAACAAGCCCAAGTGTTCTTAGAATGAATGATGTATTTGGTATATTTCATATGCTTAGATGTGCTGTTTTATATGCTGTACATGTTTCCATGTGAAGCCAAGAAAGAATATGTTATAGCGCCTATTCCACTGTCCAGGTTCCTAGGAAACATAGCGTACATCTGTCTATGTGAAATCCCTTCCTTTCACAGAGCAGTTTAAGCATGTTTTGTTTTCTCTTGACCCGTGCAAGTAAACCAAGGAGAAGAAAGCTTCAATTTTCTGCATGAATCTGCAAGAGCACTGTACGCAGCCCTGCTGTTCATAAGAATGTGTGGAGTAGGAATCCAGCCAGCCACAAGTGCTGACAGCTTCATCCAACATACTATGTGTATGGGCAACGCACGTGAGATGACAGCTCTATCTATTCCAATTATTTCTGCACCCTATTGAGCTCAAGAGAGTGTAATGTGTAGAGATTCACAAGCTATTCTACACTTAGATTTGGGGAATACGTAAAAACTTCCACAGACACATTAATCATTCACTATTTGTTCAATAGGAAATGAGGTCTTCCTACAGATATTGAAAACCTGCCTTGAAGCACAAGCTACATCAATTACACCTAATGCCATGGATTAACTGAATATAGTGAACACAGTTCTGGAAATAAAATTGTCTGAGAGCACATCATTGATCTACAGCTACAAATGGAACTTGCTTTTGTCTCCTGTGTCTTTTTTTTATTTTGTGAAAGTATTTACTTTTGTCATGATTTCTTTTCATGCTTTTAAATAACATAACACATTGTAGTAAAAAAAATAGCAGTTTAGTAAATACAGTTTGTAGATGTATTAAACAGGTTTCATTACGATGTGGCTATTCTTTCTGAATGAAAACCACTCTCACAGTTTAAATTTTTCAAATTTCTAAGAACGGTTTTCCATCTTGATCCTTTGAATTCCCTCATCACTATTAGAGATGAGCGAAGTATTCAAAAATTCGATTCGACTGATTCGGCGAATTCGTGGACAATATTCGATTCGAGTCGAATATATTCGCTGTGAATTTAACTTAAAAAAGGGTGTTTCTAGGCTTCAGAGAGACTTAATATTAGTGCAGAACACTGTACCTTTAATTTAAATGCCCTTGGAGTCTGCTGGGGAAGAGAAATAATACTGTCAGTCAGTATGACATGCAGATGAGTGCCGTCGATCTTAGAATCACCGCACACTTCACTCATTTGGCCAGTCACGGGGCCAAAACCAGTGTTTGGAGCCACAGTGTGGCGGTGGAGGCAGCAGCAATGGGAGGCCATACAGCAACCTATGACAAAATGGAAACCAGCAGGAGTGTGAGGAGACCTCAAAGTGGCACATGGCAGAGTGGGAGCAATGGGAGGCGGTACAGGGACCCATGTCACACTGTGGACCCAGCAGCAGCGTGACGAGGCGGTACGGGGGCCCATGGCAGATTTGGGGCCTGGCAGCACCTATGGGAGGCCTGTAATCTGCCAGCAACCTATGACAAAATGGAAACCAGCAGGAGTGTGAGGAGACCTGAAAGTGGCACATGGCAGAGTGGGAGCAATGGGAGGCGGTACAGGGACCCATGTCACACTGTGGACCCAGCAGCAGCGTGACCAGGCGGTACGGGGGCCCATGGCAGATTACAGGCCTGGCAGCAGCAATGGGAGGCCCGTAATCTGCCAGCACCCTATGACAAAAAATGGAACACACCAGCAGTGTGTGAGGAGACCTGAAAGTGGCACATGGCAGAGTGTGGCGATGGAGACAGCAGCAATGGGAGGCCGTACAGGGACCCATGAGAGACTCTGGACCTGGCAGCAGCATGAGGAGGCGGTATAGGGGCCCATGGCAGATTAGGGGCCTGGCAGCAGCTATAGGAGGCCCGTAATCTGCCAGCACCCTATGACAAAAAATTGAACACACCAGCAGTGTGTGAGGAGACCTGAAAGTGGCACATGGCAGAGTGTGGCGATGGAGACAGCAGCAATGGGAGGCCGTACAGGGACCCATGAGAGACTCTGGACCTGGCAGCAGCATGAGGAGGCGGTATAGGGGCCCATGGCAGATTAGGGGCCTGGCAGCAGCTATAGGAGGCCCGTAATCTGCCAGCACCCTATGTCAAAAAATTCAACACACCAGCAGTGTGAGGAGACCTGAAAGTGGCACATGGCAGAGTGTGGCGATGGAGACAGCAGCAATGGGAGGCCGTACAGGGACCCATGACAGACTCTGGACTTGGCAGCAGCATGAGGAGGCGGTATAGGGGCCCATGGCAGATTAGGGGCCTGGCAGCAGCTATGGGAGGCCCGTAATCTGCCAGCACCCTATGTCAAAAAATTCAACACACCAGCAGTGTGAGGAGACCTGAAAGTGGCACATGGCAGATGGCGATGGAGAGAGCTGTACAGGGACCTGGCTGGACCTGGCAGCATGAGGAGGCGGTATAGGGGCCCATGGCAGATTAGGGGCCTGGCAGCAGCTATAGGAGGCCCGTAATCTGCCAGCACCCTATGTCAAAAAATTCAACACACCAGCAGTGTGAGGAGACCTGAAAGTGGCACATGGCAGAGTGTGGCGATGGAGACAGCAGCAATGGGAGGCCGTACAGGGACCCATGACAGACTCTGGACCTGGCAGCAGCATGAGGAGGCGGTATATAGGGGCCCATGGCAGATTAGGGGCCTGGCAGCAGCTATGGGAGGCCCGTAATCTGCCAGCACCCTATGACAAAAAATGGAACACACCAGCAGTGTGAGGAGACCTGAAAGTGGCACATGTTTGGGCATGATTCATGGCGGATTTAGTCAGTTGTGTCAGGAACTGGTCTGATTCATTTTCACAAACGTGTGAGTCTCTCCACACTTTGGGTGGACAGTCGTGTCCTCCGCGGAGTTACAATACCTCCTGCCGCACTAAACACGCGCTCCGATGCCACGCTACTGGCCGGGCATGACAGCCTTTCAAGGGCAAATTCAGCTAGTTGGGGCCAAAGGTCAAGTTTCGTTGCCCAGTAGTCAAGGGGATTGTCTACCTCGGTTGGCAGGGTGCTGTCCAAGTAGGCCCAAGCCTGTTGTTTTGAGTCCTGCTCCAGGTCCACCTGATGCTGCTGCTGCTGCTGCGGCTGGTTAGTAGTTTCCTCACTGCGCTGGTGAAGAAAGCTACTCATCATCGACTGCAGACTGAGGCAGCCGCTGCTGGTGGAGCTGCCACTGCTCCTACCACCCCACCCCTCCCCTGCTGCCATGGCAGCGGAACGCGAGCGCACAGGGCCCACAGTGTCTGAGGATGGACTTGGCGCACAAAGGCAGAGACCAACTGACTACATAGGTGGTTTTTATAGTACGTTATTTTGGCCTCCCTCTCAGCAGGTGTGAAAAAGGCCACCATTTTTGAACGGTAGCGAGGGTCCAACAAGGTGGACAGCCAAAAGTCATCCCTCTGTCTGATGGTTATTATTCGGCTGTCGCTACGCAAGCAACCGAGCATGCTATGGGCCATTTGTGCCAAGGAATGCGAGGGACTCCCTGCCTCCATCTCCACAGCATACTGCCACGGTGCGTCTGGGTCCTCTGTCTCCTCCTCCTCCTCCTCTACCAGATGCTCCTGCTCCTCCACTCCTGTCCGCTGAGTGGAAAAACCACCCATTTCACTCAATAATTCCTGAGCACAAATGTCTCCTCCTCTACCTCCTCCTCTTCTTCCTGTCCTGCCCCCACAGGGGTCATGTGGCGTTGAGATCTGTGCGCCACGTCTACCGCACCCTGACCAGCCATTGTTAACAGCATTTGTTCCAGGACGTGCAACAGAGGAATGACGTCGTTCATCCCATAGTCCTGCCGACTCACGAATAGCGTGGCCTCCTCAAAGGGCCTGAGCAAGCGGCAGGTGTCACGCATGAGCTGCCAATGGCTGACATCAAAGTTACACAGGGGAGTACCTTTATCCGCTTGTAACATCAGGAAATCGGTGATGGCCTTTCGCTGTTCGTAAAGGCGGTCTAACATGTGTAGGGTTGAATTCCACCTTGTTGCAACGTCGCAGATCAGGCGATGCTGTGGAATTCCGTTCTGCCGCTGCAGCTCAAGGAGGGTGTGCTTTGCGGTGTAGGAATGGCTGAAATGCATGCAAAGTTTACGTGACATTTTAAGGATGTCTTGCAGTGGGATGGTGGATTTTAGGAACCGCTTGACAACCAGATTGAACACGTGAGCCATGCATGGCGCATGGCACAACCTTCCTTGACGCAGAGCAGACACCATGTTCTTTCCGTTGTCGGTCAACATGGTTCCGATTTTCAGTTTGCGCGGAGACAGCCATCTGTCGATTTCTCTGTTCATTACACTGAGAAGTTCCTCCCCTGTGTGACTACGTTCGCCAAGGCATACCAGGTGCAGCACAGCGTGACACCGTTGCGCCCTGCACATGTGATATGCCGGTCGGGTAATGGGACTTGGCACGGGGGTGGCGGCTGAGGACACGGCGGAAGAAGAGGTGGTAGAGGCGGACATCTTTTGTGGACCAAGGACGTGCAAACGTGGAGGCAAAAGCGGCGTGACCTGTCCAAGTTGCTGGTGCGGCTGTGACGGCACCACGTTCACCCAGTGGGCCGTAAATGACATGTACTGTCCCTGACCGTAGTTACAGCTCCACACGTCGGCGCTGCCGTGCACTTTGGCAGAGACCGACATGCTCAAAGACTGGCCCACCATCTCTTCTACATGTGAATGCAGGGC